GAATGTATATATGCCTATATATATATATATATATACACATATCGGGTCATGGAAAAGTCATGACGTAGTTTTCTGTTTTCCTACCCAAAAATGTGTCATGGCTTTTCTGACAACCCAATACCTATCTACATGTTTTTCAAAGAATTATTTTATTTAGTTTTATTCATCATTGTTATTATTTTTAATTTGACCAGAGAGAGAGAAAGTGAGAAAGCAAGTCCCGGGTCTGAGACACGAACTGTGGTCGGCCATGTGGGAGTCCCGTGCCTCAACCCCCACGCCACCTGCTGGCCCTGTGTCTACATTTCTTAATTGCAGAACTCTGGATCTTGGTTCCAGAGACCCACTCAGTGGTTCTGAGCCAGGTCAAGGACGCTGCTTTTGTTTTCCCCCAAAGTTTTTTTCCAGCGAGTGCATGCACTCACCAGAGAGTCAGAGAGAATGGCAGTAAGAGGGAAAGTGAGAAATCACCCCCAGGGGGTGATTTGGGGACACATCATAATCCCTTGCCTTCCATCCTCGTCCTGGGATTTTGGGCACTTTATACACACACTCAGTGTGATTTTCAAACCACCAGGTCCGGCACTCAAACCTCAGTCAGCCATGTGGGAATCCAGTGCCTTAACCACCATGCCATCTGCTGGCTCCAGGACTCTGCATTTCCAGTGATGCTTTTTTCTTTTTTTATTCACTTACTCTTTCATTCGTTTGTTGGAAAAAAGAAAAACAAAAAACGAAAAACAGAAAAAGGAAAACACAGCGCTGGAGCCAGCCTGGAGAACGAGACAGAGGCCTGTCCTCGGGGGCTGCCGGCCAGAGCAGGGCCGCGGGCTCTTGGAGCTGGTCAGTGGGGCCTCCCTCTTGTAGGCGCTGATCAGTACCCACCCTACCCGCCCCCTCCCCGAGCTCTGCACCTCGTCCTGCTGTCACCTGCCTCTGCAGCACCCTCACAGAGTCTGGCTCACCCTCAGTCTGTGGTGACCAGGCCGTCCGCTGAGGCCCTGGGGACCCTGTCATGAATGTATGGGCTGAAGCCTTGGTGGAAGGCCTGGGATTCTCCAAACCCCGTAGCCGCTGCTCTGAAGGGCCCACTGAAGCGTGTGTGGCAGGGCAGGTAGCCAGGACAGGGGACAGAGGTCCCAGTGCAGACGAGCTGGCCGGGACAAGCCTGGCTGTGGAGGCCCAAGCTGCTGCAGTGTCAAGGCCGCGAGTACACTACAGCCCCTCTCCTGGCTGGGCTCCCTGCACGCTCTGGGTCAGTCTAACCCTCTGCGTCAGCTCCTGCCCTGTCCAGCTGTCCCTGAGCTCTTCTTCAGAGCCTGTGGCCCTCACCTGAACCTTCCCCGCTGGCTTCAGTGTGTGCCAGGCCTGCTGGATGTTACTGACCTTGCCTGAGGGTCCCCCTTGTAACCAAACACCAGGGAGCCATCGACTGCCACCAGCTGCTGTTAGACAGGGAAGAAGTCCCAGAGAGAGCGCGCGTCAGTGCGGGTGTGAGTTTGCGTGTGTGAGCACGTGTGCCTGTTTACGTGAACACGCATGTGGGTGTGGGCCGGGAGACTGAGCATACAGAGGACAGTGGCCGAATCATCTACGAGAACACCCCGATCCACACTCCGCAACAGCCAGCCGAGGCCATCAAGCCCCCTTCCCAGCCAGCCCGGGCAGCCAGAGGAGCAGGGCGCAAG